TATTATAATAATAATAATAATAATAATAATTTTTATTTAGGTAAAGGTACATACATAAAGAGATTTTACAAAGTTTGTTGGCTTTATAGATAGAGCTAGTACATACAATGCCTAAAGCCACTATTACGCAAAGCGTTTCGGGCAGGAAAAAACACTAATGACTAAAGCTTAAAACTAATGGGTAAAAAGAATAAAATGTGTTGAGTACAAATAAAAATAGAGGTAAAAGAGGGGGGAACATTGTTGAAAAAGCAGCACAAATACAATTACAAATTATTACAGAAAATTACATTCAAACAGCGTTGAATTGAAAAAAAAAAAAAAAAACATACATGGGTTGACAACAGAGGGGTAAGGTAGGTTACAGGGAATTTATTAGGTATAGCTTCGTTTTTAACTTAAACTGGTTGAGAGAGGTACAGTCTTTAACATGGTTGGGAAGGTCATTCCACATTCTGGGCCCCTTGATTTGTAGAGCATTTCTAGTTTGATTAAGTCGTACTCTAGGAATATCAAAACTGTATTTATTTCTGGTGTGGTGCTCATGGGTTCTGTTACATCCTTCTATGAAGCTTTTGAGATCAGGATTGGCATTATAGTTTAGCGTTTTATATATGTATAATACACATGAGAGAATGTGCAGTGACTTAATGTCTAACATATTCAGAGATTTGAGTAGGGGTATCGAGTGATGCCTGGGGCCAGAGTTGGATATTGTCCTAATAGCAGCTTTGTGTTGAGTAATTAGAGGACGTAAGTGATTTTGGGTAGTAGAGCCCCAAGCACAAATACCATAGTTGAGATATGGATAGATAAGGGAGTAATAGAGAGTCACCAGGGCAGTTCGTGGTACATAATATCTGATCTTAGAAAGAATGCCCACAGTTTTTGAAACTTTTTTTGATATATTTAGAATGTGTCCCTGGAAATTCAGCTTGTGGTCAATGAGAATGCCAAGGAATTTGCCATCTAATTTGTTACAAATTTGGGTATTGTTTATTTTGAGATTTATTTGATTAGAGGATTTATTGCCAAACAGAATATAGAAAGTTTTGTCAATGTTAAGGGTGAGTTTGTTGGCAGTTAGCCAAAGATGGACTTTATTTAGCTCAGTATTTACTGTGGCATTTTGAGCAAGGGGGTCAGGACTGGAGTAAATGAAGGTTGTGTCGTCAGCAAATAGAATTGGTTTGAGGTGTTGGGAGGCATTTGGAAGGTCATTAATGTAGATGAGAAAGAGGAGAGGGCCAAGTATGCTGCCCTGAGGAACACCAATGTTGATGGGTAGGGTGGGAGAAATTGTATTGTTCACAGAAACATATTGGAGCCTGTCAGTAAGGTAGGATTTGAGGTATTGTAGGGAGTGTCCTCTGACTCCATAATGATGTAATTTAAGAAGAAGGTTTTGGTGGTTGACAGTATCAAAAGCTTTACGCAGGTCCACAAATAACCCAACAGGGAACTCATTTTTATCAAGAGCTGTATGAATCGAGTTAAGCATACTAATAAGTGCATCGTTAGTGCTTTTTTTGGGTCTGAAGCCATATTGGCAAGGGCTAAGTATATTGAGTTTGGCTAGATATGAGTAAAGCTGCTTATAGAATAGTTTTTCAAAATTTTTTGACAAGTTTGGCAGGATTGATATAGGTCTGTAGTTGTTAACATCTGTGAAGTGACGAAATTCGTCAGTGAAGCACTTGTTCCGGATATGTTCGAACTTCAGCAGTTGTGAGTCGTGTGTAAATCGCTTTTCATTCATAAACAGGGGGTTTGGCGGGTGCATGGAATCACTTTTGGATCTTTGTTTGGAGGACGGGCTGCTGAATGAAAGCTGTTTATACACGACTCAGAACTGTTGACGTTCGAAAACTTCCGAAACAAGTGCTTCACTGACGAATTTTGTTCGAACCACAACGTCGTAAATGCCTCACCCACGTTCTACAAATACAAATAATCGCCAACAGAACCTAAACCTATATATATATATGCACAATATGCTAATATTTTATAATATTAATTTATATTTGAGAAAATTTCCATTTTGAATGAACAGCATGTATTATGAATGCGTCTGTGGGGTCGACCGCTGGATGTAATGAACTTGAGCCGAGGACGGGTTGTGGAGAGATCATTACTGGGGTCCATCCCCGGTGTGGGCCTGTGTGATGAGGGTGCCCTTACCCCCAGTGAAGCGGGCTTTGATGTCTGACCTTGAGTTCTCGGGAATTTTGGACTACCATGCTGTGGATGTGGTATTGTTTGACATTCTGAGAACGACCCTAGACGTTGTCGGTGAAGTCCAGCTTATCTACAGTCATCGGGCGGTGGTCAAGTTGAGTTCTCCGGCTGTCTTCCGGGTGTGGGTGTGGAGGGGGGGGGGGGGGGGTTGTTGCCCCTGCTGTGAGCGCTGGTGCAAGCAGGGATTTAGTTTTGGTACTAATAAAGGCCGCCGTGAAGCAGAACTCCGTGTCGGCGGGCCCTGTTTCGGTGGTTCCTGGTAAGCCTCTTCCGGTGCTGACAGGGCCCCGTGTAACAGACCCTCGATCGTCTCCCCGGCTTCTTTGCAGCCCGACCCTTCGCCTGAACCTCAGCCGGAACTTACGCCCAAACCAAGTTCCAACCCTTTGCCGTATTATGGGCGTCAACCGCATGAGATTGCTGCTTACTGGGCAGCTAGGGGCGGGAATTCGTCGTGTTAATAAAAAAAAAATTGTGTTTGGTGTGTATTTCTGTGCTATGTTTCTGTGTTAATGTTCTGTAATTTATTTCCTGCTTTGCTTGTTACGCTCTTTCATTTGTCAAGCTCTTTAGCTTGTAACTCTGTACTGTTATGCTTGTTGCTGTGTTTTGTTTCTGTTCTCTTATTTTCTACTAGCTGTACCCGGCCACGCGTTGCTGTGGCTCATCAATGCATGCACGTTACTGAGCCACAGTAACCCTCCCCCTGTTCCCCCCCCCAAGTTATCCCCCACCATTCCCTCCTCCCCCGTCCTCCCAACCATTCCCCGCTCCCCCATCCCCTAGTCCTCCCCACCATTCTCCCCTCCCCTTTCCCCTCGTCCTCCCCACCATCCCCCACTCCCCCATCCCCTCGTCCTCCCCATCAATCCCCCATCCCCTCATCCACACCACCATTACCCCTTCCCCAGTCTCCTCTTCCTCCCCACCATCCCCCACTCCCTTCCCCTCATCTTCCCCACTCCCTCGTCTGATGTGTTCCCAAATGGTCTGATGTTCCTATCAGAAAAATAGGAACATCAAATGAGTCGATATTCCCATCACTGAAAAATAAGAACAACTAAAAAAACGACATAAAAAATGAAAAAAATACAAAAATATACTATACATACAAAATGAATGGTATGGTAAACAACACAGCTCAATTCCAATGCAATATCACACAAAATAATTAAATGAAAATGAAAATAAATCAAATTCTATGAAAATTCAATTTATCAATGCAATCAGAAACATTGAAATGGAATCGTAACATATTTAGTATAGCATGTTTTGCTATTACATCCAACAGATGGCTCTTTTTTAGAAAAAGTTTTTTTTTTTTTACCTGTCACAGGTGTGGCATCTATACTTATACTCACGAAATGAATGGCATGGTCAATATCACAGCTCAATTCCAATACAATGTCACACAAAATAATTAAATCAAACTGAAAATAAGTCAAAATTAATGAAAATTATATTTATCAATGCAATCGGAAACATTAAAATGGAATCGTAACATATTTAGTATAGCGTGTGTTGCGTTTACGTGCAACAGATGGCGCTGTTTTTTTTAAAGCATGTTTTTACCTGTTACATGTGTGGTATAAATAAAATATGTATTTAAAAACATGTGCGCATTCGAATGGAACGTTGTGTCAAAATTTCAAGCAAGCGTTAAGGAACTTTTGGAGATTACAGCGTTTGTTGCTCTTACGTCCAACAGATGGCACTGTTTTTTTTTAAGCATGTCTATATAGAACAGGTTGTTTACCTGTCACAGGTAAACAACAGTCCTATATTGTGGATTGTTGAGCTTGAAACCGTTTCTCCTTATTTGTGTTACATTTGACCTTACACTTTTGAATTTGAAGAAATTGTCCGAATCAACATCCTCCAAATTGTTCAGTATCTTAAAAGTTTCGATGAGATCCGCCCTATCATGCCTGATAGGGCGGAACACTGCAAACCTGATAGGTTTGCCCGAAACGCTTTGCATAATAGTGGCTTCAGGCATTGTATGTACTAGCTCTATCTATAAGTCCACCAATCTTTGTAAAAATTTCTTGTATGTACGTACCTTACCTAAATAAACATTTATTTATTTATTTATTTGCAGTGTTGTTAGCGCTGTGGCCCTCACCCGTTCTTGATATGAGAGTCAACTTAATTCTGGAATAATTTTGTCGCTCGGTGATGAACTTTATCCAGAGAAGATGTCTTCCTGACGATGATGCTTGGATACAATAATCCAAGTAGCAGCGCACCAGAGATTTATACAGATGAATAACTACCGGTACCTTCTTTTTCTTTAAGCTAAAGGTCCGTTTGACTATTCCTAGATTTTTGTTCACACTGCAGCTCACACTTGTTACTCAACTTACAATGACTGGTGTGTTCCGACTCCAAGGTCTTTTTCATCATCAATCTTCTGCAAGGTAATGTTGTTTATGTGGTAGTTGTGACATGCATTGTTATGCCCCACATGCAAGGTCATGCATTTTTCAATATTAAAAAGCATTTGCCAGTCTTCGACCATTTGTAGAATTTATGTAGATCTCTTTGTAAGACCTCAATATAATTTTCACTTCCCACTTTCCATAAATATTAGTGTCAGCGTAAATTTGATATATATGACAAAAGTTGGCCTCAAAATGGACACTTGCGATACCCACTCGCCATATGTCTCCAGTCAGAATTGTTTTCGTTTTGGACAATGATTTGCTTTATATGAGGTCAATATTTTTTCCCACAACGAAATACCCTTCTCACCCACTTACCACCCCACTGATGATGGAGCCGGCGTAGTTGAAGCGGCCAAAATAGAGAGGTTCCCCCGTCTCGGAGTGGCCTCCCTGCAGGGCACCCTGGGGTATTGAACCATGGCTGGCCCTCTCCCATACCAACGCTGCACCTCCAGGGTTGCTCAGCACCTGCAGTGAGGTTAGCAGAGTGGTTAGGGTGGGGTTTACATGACGACCACAACTGTATTATTAGTGACCTTTTGGGACATTGCTAAATGCAATCTATATTACATTTACATTTTTCTGGCATCACAAAAAAATATATGAACAGTGCAAGGTTACGTAATGGGAAGAGTTACGGGGAAGTGTTTATTGTTCCTCCAAAATATTGCAATCGTACCTTTTGTAAATTAGGAGATCAATCTAAAGATACGTTGACTGAAATATCACATAATTTTTATTATAAATGATCGAATATCTGTCATTCTTGCACTGTATCATATCTCACTTCTAATAGATATAGGAAATATGTATTTGAGGAAAGTATAAGCTGTGTACACTAAAATCATAAAGAAATTTTTTTCTAACCCTATAAATCCAAAACAGCATTTCCAAATTATTCTAAGTACTGTAACAACAAAATGACTTGACTCCAATGAGTAATTATTAATATTAATAAATATAATCATAATATAATAATAACATACTACTTATTCAAAAGAATGTGTACATAGAAAGAACATAAGAGTAATGTACAATTGTAGGGAGAGCAGTTACACATACTATTGAAGTCACCATTATGCAAAGCGTTTCCTGCAAAACTTAAAAATATAGGAACAAATTTAACTAAGGGTGTGAGGGGGTAAAACAATGCTAAAAGAGAAATTAGCTAACAAAATGAGAACGTTCAAGAAAAATAACAAATGAATACAAAAAAAGTGAAATCTATAGATGAAAGACATACACTATTACATTATGGAGTCAGAAGTTTAATTGCATTGGAATAATTTAAATACTAAGGTATTTAATACTAAGATATTTAATACTAAGGTATTTAAGGTAATGTAAAACAGAAAGTGGACACTTTCTGATAACATTTTCTTGTAATATAACAGTACACAGAGTAATAAATATAATTTAAGTTTAATGGGGCCAATACTAAAATTAAACAAGGAACAAAGAGGACATGAATAAACACATTATCAAAGAAATATAAGATTTTTGATGACATTAAATGTAGAAAGGACATAATTCTTATTATATAATATTTGAAGAAAAGAGTAACACTCAAATATACTTAGTCTTCTCCATTATTATCACGTATCTTCAATAGCCAGCATATTGATCATCACCATTGCAGTTACTACACAAGACTACTGCAAAAACCAAACTCCAAAATAACACTAACCTGTTCGTATTCAACCAAAATATCAGATCACTTGGGAAACAGTTTGATGATATCAGTGCGCTACTTGAAGCACTGGGCTATAAACAAACTATCTTTCATTATTTTAACAGAAACATGGCTAAGTAAAGACCACACCCAACTATACAACTTAGCTGGATATAAAGTCATTCACAACTGCAGGCCTGACAAAAAAGGTGGTACAGCTGTCTATTATCAAGATAACTTCATTTGCACAATTATTTTTTAGCAAGAGACTATACCTTTGAACATACCTCTGCTCAATTCCCGATCAAATCCCTTAAATCGTCAATAACTATTGGAGCTATTTATATATTTTCGAATACTAATGCAATTACATTCTCTGATAACATAAGGAACCTAATCATAAACAACAAACTCAACAAAAGCCACATTATCCTAGGAGGTGGCTTCAACATTGACTGCTGTAAAAAAAAAAAAAAAAAAAAAAAAAAAATAGCCCCCAAGTCGAATACTTCCTAAATAGCATAAACTCCTCCATGCTAATCCCCACAATCACCAAGCCCACACACGAACAATCACCAAGCCCACTCAAACATCTGCTACATCCCTGGACCACATATAGACTAATATAACAGCTATCCTTGTCTCTGGTATAATCACTGACAGAACAACCGATCACTATTCTACCTTCCTCTCAGCAAACATGGACATAACACTTTCCGTTACCAAAAAACGTACCTTTAGACTACACAGCAAATCAGCAATAAGGAACCTCACAAATGCACTTCACAATATAAATTGAAAATCTGAACTTGTTACGGCCCTCTCGGGACGCAACGGGGTTCTTACTCTGATGTTGTTAGAGGAAGTTGTATCCGACCCCAAGCCAGTAGTGGCTTTCAAGGGATGTGATCCGTGACGAAAGAAACTTAAAGGGGGAAGGGAAAGAAAGTTAAGAACTTAAGATTATAATTTACCGTCACCATATAAATAATATATAAAAGAGTGCACAGGGGGAGGGGTATAAACACTATACAGGGGGATTATTCACAATCGTTGTCTTCTGCTGAAGACTCTGGTGCAAAGCTCTCGGTGCTGAGTCCTCGGTGCTTTCGTGGTCCCTTGACGAATTCTTCTGAGAAGTTGAGCCTACCCTGGCCACAGGTCAGCCAAAACACAGGTCCACTGGGGGCACCGCCGTGGAGGCCGTCAACCACACGTCCAGCAGGTCTACTGGCAGGTTCCGGATCAGCAAGGCTGGTCAGGCCGCTCCACGGGCGATATTAGGGTAATGCCCTAGACAGGAGCCTCGTGTGATACCACCAATCACTCTCCTGTCCTCAATACCCCAGTGGATAATCGTCTCCAGCCGTCGGTCCCGGGTAATCCTTCTACTGCCACTCCACTGGCAGGGTAACACCACAGTGTTCTTCTGGGGGACGACTTCACAGCTGCTGCAGCAAAGCACAAGGTATGGAGACGGCTGCCTTGGGTAGACTGACTCGACTTCCATCACAGCAGTCCCAGGTCGACTCTGTAAGCAGACACATCATCAATAACAGGGACACTAAAACACCTCACTTACAGGCTCAGACACAAACGCCCACCTATCCACTCCATAGATGGCGCTGGTGTCTGAGCACCACCTCACCAGAGGTCAGCAGCGGCTGTGTTGAGCGCTGAACAGGACTGGAAACTGGCCCTTGTGGCCAATACTCGTCGTCTTCACCAGGTGTCGTCGTCCGTTTGGAGGGGTTTTCGGGAGCTGACCCACAGATGGCGCGGTCGTCACTGCTCCGTGCTCGGACGCTGGATCCGGGTTCGAAACACCTCCCCACCAAAAAGAATTTGGTTTGGGGTTCTATAAAAAGAGACACAAACCAAATTAGTACGGCGACACATCTCCAAATGGACTCACAATTACTGTAAACTGGCACGGCGAGGCTGTCTCGTCCACAGAATTGTTCAACTGGACAACTCCGGCACAACGGGAACTTGCAGATAGAAGACGATGATCTGTCTGGCGTAATCTTCCACGTCTCCACTGCGATGTCAAGCAGGGGCATCATTTCACATCTCTCGAGTAAGGATCGGCGTAGACACGATCTGGGGCGACTCGACACTTCCCTGTGTTGTGGCGCCGATGATGGCTGGTTACAGACGGCATTTCTAGTACCGGTCCGGTAGTCCTTCAGGGAGACAGGAACCTGGAATACAGGGGTCTGATAATTCAGAGCGACAGCGACAGTGGGTAAAATAGTACTTACAGCATACTCTACTAGGTCCACACCTAGTCCCAACGGGGCTGTTCGTACGTCGCAGATGGCATTTGCTCTGCCACCGTCAGGTCGACCAACGTTCCACATAACGCTGCATTGAGGCTCAGCAGTCACGCGGGGGGTGTCAACCTGTCGGAAACAGTCACTCATATTATCGTATCGCGTACCTCCTGTATCAACCATTACCTTCCAGGTCCCTTCTTCGACTGCAACACGCATAATGCACGTCTATAATCCCTGGGATCTCTTCACGATGTTCACGGGAGCCATCATCTGTCGGGTCGTCCACTGGTCCTTACTGAGAACACACACGAGAATCAAAAATACCGCTAAGAAACATTTGGTTAACTTAGGGACGAGTTTCCTGAGCTTAAAATGTCCATAGCCGGCTACATCTATTAGCCTGGTTTGGACCAAAGAGGGCACTAGACCCTTCGTACATGCCTCACATATCTCCGACGTCTGGGGAATCTCTGGCCGGTTCAATGAACGCTGTACCTTGCCATACCGCAAGTACACCTCCGCCTTCGCTCCAGACTCGTTGGTATCCGTGGGTGCCTGCACACAAGGCCTCTCTTCTAGCTCAGGTACTTCTGCCATCGTAACCCCATGTTTCTCGTCGGGAGAAGAATCAGGAGACACTGTTAGAATACTGTCGATCTGCGGGTGAGAGGAAGAATTAAACACACTTAAATCCGGGTCTGTCTTTACCTGGACATTACCATTGCCTGTTGTCACCTCCGACCTTGCTGTTTCGGCTGACTCGTCCACGACCTTGGGAAGATTGTTGCTCCAATCTGTCACCAAGTCGTTGGCTAGTATCACGTCAATCCCAGCCACAGGGAGGGTATCGACTACTGCCAACTCGCAAGTGCCGCTGAAATAAGGCGAATCGAGATGTACTGGCACTAAGGGGGCGATGTACCGCGTCCTTGGAAACCCAACCAGGACAACCTTTTGTCTCCCGTCTACACTTACTCCCTCGGGTAACGAGCTCTTCACGATCAGGGACTGGGCTGCTCCACTATCCCTGAGCACTACAACTGATCTACCAGTATGATCACTCGATACATACCCGCCTGAAGTGTGAGGGGAAAACAATCTGGGTTCTTCCTGCGTAGTCGTAGACTGGTTTCCTGCTGGTGATGTTCCACAGCTCATCAACATCACCTCCCTTCGTGGGCCGCCACCTCTTCTGCCTCGGCACATAGCAGCTACATGCCCTTTCTGCCCACAAGTCCAGCACACCATATTCCTCCTCGGGCTCCGGTGTTTCGGACTGCTAGGACTTGTTCTTCGAGGGCTACTTGGGGGCGTCTTCTTAGCGCTTCGTGGGACGGGGGTCTCTTCTTCGTCATGAGGTTTCTCAAATCGGCGTTGGTAATGCCTTGGGACGTACTTAGCAGACTGCCTATGAGTCAGGATATACTCTTCAGCCATGGTGGCTGCCGCACTCAAGGTCTCTACCTGCTGTTCCTCTAGGTACGTCTTCAGGTCTCCAGACATACAATCCTTGAAGT